AGCTCATCCAAGTGCCTGGCACATAATGGACACTCAGTAAATGTTAACTGAGTAAACTCACGTTGTCTGAACATTGATGACACCATTAAAATTTTTAGATGAATAGAAAGAAATCACAGAGTAATAGGGCTTTATTATATAAGAAATATGAAACCAAAGATCCAGGCTTCTTTGCCTATGGCTTTTTCCCACCATCTTGGCTGTGTAGTTTGGAAGGGTCACTTAAGTTCCCTGTACTTCCCTGTGGTATTAGTGAAGATTCTTTCCGAGAAACCAAACTCAAAGCAGCCTAAGCAGAAACAGAGCCTGACCAGGAGAGCAGACAGAATCAGAGAAACATCTGCAGGAACTGGGGGCTCTGGGAGCAGACCCAGGGATTTCCAGTCCATCTTCTCACCTCTGCTTCTCCTTGACTGCTGGCCTCACCATGTCCTCTCACAGAAAGATCTTCTCCCTGAAGTGGGAAATGGAGCCAGTGGCCACCACCAGGAAAACCCAGAAAAAGAGAAAGCAGCACTCTCTCATGGCCAAGACAGAAATCTCAGTGAAGGACTCTAATGCTCCTGCTTGGATTCTGTGCCAGTCTTGAGACCCACCACTGTGGCCAGAAAGGTGAAACTGTATGACTGGCCAGTCCTAGATCATAAGCCCATCTCTACAGTGGGGAGCAGGGGGTGGGGAGGAGGGCAGGGCCTGTTACATAATAAGGAAGGTAGGAAAGCTTGCCCTACAGACAAAAACAAGAGTCCCAGTCTGTTACCCTAACAGTGGTTGACCTCTCTTTATATTCATAATATTATTTTAGATAATGCAAAAAAGCATCATCATCTGCATGGGGAGTGTTGTATAAGCATAAAATTTATTTTACTGACTACCTCATAGTTGGGCAAAATAAATACATGATAGCTTAGTTACAATTGTGACAATGCCAAGGAATAAGTAAAACCTGTTCTCTTGCTTTCAATTAAAAAGAAAAAAGCATAGAAGTACCTTTTTGCCATCATATAGCAGGCTGGCAATAGAAAAACTCTTGGTTAGGACCCAAGGTACAAGTCATGACTCAGACCCATGCGGCCATGAGGCTCCCCCACCTCATCAGAAGGATAAAGTACAGCCATTGACGTATTTTCTCTGATTGGAAGATTCCCTAACAAAACAGCCATTGGGAGAGGCTCCTGAAAATTCCACCCACTCCTACAGAGGAAAGACATATGACGACGGCTCATGGGTGACAAGTGAGGTTTACAGAAACGGAAATGCAAAAAAAAGGAGGGTCCTCCCAGAAATGTAAGAGGACAGCCTCCCTCTGACAGACAGAATTCAGGAAGCTCAAGTGCGAAGTATTTGTTCCCTTCCAGCTCAGGGAAATGCAAACATGTGTATGAGAAGGTGGCAGGGCTGCAGAGGGAGGCTGAGGAACCCACACCCCTTGAATCACAGTCGGCCTCTCTGCACGGGTGTGCAGCACCTAGCTCAAGGGAAATGAGTCGTCATAACAGTAGACACCTAGGCTTGCAGGGTTTTGTAATCTCAGCTGGGGTAGATAGTGTTTAAAATTCACAGTTCCAATATTTGATGCACTATTAGCATGTTGATGATGCTGCAAGGCTAGGTTAAGAGTTTTTCCTGGGGCCGGCCCGGTGGCGCAAGTGGTTGGGTGTGTACACTCTGCTGTGGCGGCCCGGGGTTCACTGGTTCGGATCACGGGCGTGCACCAACGCACTGCTTGGCAAGCCATGCTGTGGCGGCGTCTCATATAAAGTGGAGGAAGATGGGCATGGATGTTAGCCCAGGGCCAATCTTCCTCACAAAAAAAAAAAAAAAGCTTTTCATAAGTCTTTCCCAGAGAAACATGCAAAACAGCCCTAGGTTTCCAATACATATTGATAATGTACTGTATACCAGGTAGTACTGTAGGCACCAGGGATACCCCAGTGACCCAAAGAGACAAAAAAAATTCTGTCCTCAGGGAGCTTATATTCTAGTTGGAAGAGACAGACAATAAACATAATGAATAAATAAAACATAGAGTATTCAGATGGTAAGGAGAAAACGAAGAGAAAAAAAGAAAGCATGGCAGGGGGATGGGTGGAGGTTATAACGGAGGCTCATCTATAACTCTCTACGCTCTAGATTCTTGGCAGACGACGACCATGGCAATTGGCTTCACCTGCTGGTGAAGACCACTCCCAGCCAGTGCGGAAAAGGGGGGAGAGAAAGAGAGGGAAAGAGAGAACCTGGGTAAACACAAGACTGGCATTCAGCCCTGGGTCATGGCTTTGCCCAGTTCCCAACTCAGTTTAGATTTCTGTGTCCCAACCTGGGTAATGATGTTAATAAAACCTGCCTCCCCTCCAGATAACAGAATATTGTGTTGTTAGGTCACGTGGCCTATAAGCTGACCCAAATATATATTTATCTTCATTTTGAACATTAGAAAGTTCACATTTGGGTCTTTAGGCTTCTTTTATCACCTATGGTTAAACATATACTTTATGCCAAACTCTGTTCTAGGCACTGGAAGTACAGCAGTAAGCAAGACATACAGGCGTCTGTCCTAGAGGAACTCACATTCCAATGGAGGAGATGAAAAATTCAACAATAGATTAAACAGGGGAGATACTGACAAGAAGGAGACAGGCACCATTGAACAGTCCAGACATGAGATGATCAAGTCCTGAACTTAGATTGCTCTCAAACAAGCTGAACTGAATTCCTGACTCTCTGTGGTCATCTAAAAAGCCCTTTCTATAAGGGTATCACGGTAGGAAGTTGATATGAAAATCCACTTGTGGCTATCGGGTCTTTCCAAAATGTTAAAAGAGCAGCTTCCTTTCTCTTACTGACAGTCTCTTGTGTGGATAAAGAGACACATCTTTAGATCTCCTAAGAGTTTCTATTTTGTGAACTGCAAAAATGTTATTCCAAGTTGTATAAATAAGCATGTGCTTTGGTTTCCGGAGTCTTTAGCAACTTATTATAGCACTACTGTTTTGTTTAAAAAAAGAAAAGTGGTAGTAAAAACCATAACAGTAGTAAAAAAAAAAAAAAAAAGTCATAATAACAATAGTAACATGTGCTTTACCAATTAGAAAGTGAAGCCACATATCTCCTAGGATTGCTGTTGGGCAGGGTGTTTCAGGAGGGAGGGTAAAGAGAGGGATTCAAAACACACATTTGGAGAAGAATCAACCCACACCTTTCATGTTCAAAGGCACCGGGTCCTGGGTAGATACGAGAGACTAGAAAACGGAAATGTGGATACATCACACCCAACACCTTAGGGAGAGAAGTCTAATAGACATGAAGCAGAGAAAGCTACAAGACAGTGGATTTTAAGCGCTAAATGCTTTTTCACCCAAGTTACCACCTCAGCCTCGCTGAATTGCCCAAACACTCCTCTCTAGCCTGAGTAGCTCCGTGCAGTCTGTTGAAATTGTAGCACAGCCAGAGAGAAGCAGTTTCTGAGTGTGTGCACATGAGTCCCTCTAGCCGGATGGCAGGGAGACCAGCCTGACAACACTCTGACATTGTATATCGGATCCAGACTTTGTGGATGCAACAAACTTTCTGTGTGCACCACAATATGATCAGACATAATGTTCATTACATACGACCTGAGCTTACTGTAAACACCGCTCTAAAGAGGTGTTATGTTGTATGCGTGTCAACTGTCAGGACAACCTGCCAGCCAGAAAGACAAAATTTCCAAATAAGCCTGCAGCCTCTGCTTGCAGCAACCAGACTATCCCAAAATCATATTTTTTGGCATGGTTTCCCATCTAGATCAATGGCAATGAAGCTCATTTAGATTACTGGTGGAAGGGCTTCTATAAATTACACTTTAAATAGGGATCTCTTAAGGAAACACATTCTACCTCATTGCTTCTCTTTAGAAACTTTGAATATCCTGCTTGGGATGTGGTCTCCGCTAAGACGAAGCTAACCGGATCAGTGCCTTTTTATTTGTTTGGGGTGTGTGTGTGTGTGTGTGTCCTTTCAAAAACAATAACTTCAGCAAAACAAACTGCCAGGGAGCTGGTTTTCCCATCACTGCCCTCAGTAGGAATAAAGTGTCTGAAGAACATACTTGGAGAAAAACTATTTTTTAAAATCGTACTAGATATTTGATGCCAAATATCTGATGATATGAGTATCTCGTAGTTAGAGAAGGTGTCTTTGGGACCTGCCAGGTCAACTGGAGAGCAAAATGTACAGCTATCTCTACAGTTTCCTGACTGGGGTTTATGAAATCATTTCACAGAAAATACCCTGTATTTTCAGGTCACCTCTCCTCAGTACCCAAACAGACAGAACCCAAAAAAGTGAATGAAATTCAGAGATCCCTGTCCATCAGACCAACTAGAATTCAGGCCACTGTACTGAAAGCAAACGCCCTATTTCACTGCTCAAATATTGCTAGGAAACTCCAATATTGGTTCTGATCCCCACTTTCTCCGAAAATAGCCCTTCTTTCCAGTAACTATTTTCCTGCTAGAAAGAATCCTAAGAAAATATCAGAAGTTGAACTGGGCTGGGGAGAGGGAGAGGAAAATTTAGCAGCCAGAATGCATGCTGAATTTGAACTGTTGGTAAGTTCTTGGACCACCTGCAAGGTGTTTGCAAGCACTTTGCAGAGAAAAATCCTTCCTTTGATTAAAAGTCTGTGACCTGAGTCCCCAAACTTTTCTCACTGGGCAAAAAGGGCCAGAAACATCTCTGTGGGTACTGATCTACTACAACTGAAATCTAAAGACATCTCCCCTTCCCCCAAAGAAAGCATAGCTCAGAAATAGCAAGGCATTCTAAGTCAGAAAGACAAATCTCTGTTGAAAGGAAGGTAGCAGTGACTGTAATTAACTGAGAAGCAGTTGTGGAACTTCTAGGGCTGTATTTAAAGGGCCATGCCAGAAAGGGGGTAGCAGTCGTGACTGTGGCTGTGTAGTAAAATGTTGATGGGAGAGGGAAATGGGGCAAGAGAAGTAAATAGATTTACTTACAGCCCTCGGAGCCGAAGCCAGATTTTCTCGATCTGTTCGGGTTGCAGGTATTTCAGCGAGTTGCTCTCAAATTCTTCAATCTCCTTGGTGGGCGACTCCATAGCTGCAGGTTATCACTGGGAGTGAGGCTGAGAGAGTTTGGGCTGTCCCCTCCCTGCCTCCTGGCCCAGTATGAGCACCCAGCTGGGCGCAGGCGTGAGTTTGTCACTTTCTCCGTGCGCTCTCCTGCTTGCGCTCCCCAAATCCAGACTTAAAGGGGGCTTGGATCTTGGGCGACCCCGGGCCCAGGTGCCCCCCGGAGGTAGCTGCGGTAACCAGCCATGGTCCTGGGCTAACGCCCAGGGATAGAGATTGTGTGTCTGCTCAAGAAGAAAGCACTTCGGATCTATTCAGATTTTTTTAAAACAAAGCCACAGAAGCGATAAGTGTGGCAGGCTGAAGGATCTGAGGGAGAAAGGAAGGACCGACTGGGGAGGAGAGGAAGCAAGGAGGGAGAAAGTGAGAAGGGGAGAGGGCAGAGGAGGATGAGCGAGGGGGGAGGCGGCACAAGGCGGGGTGGTCTGACCCGGTCGCCGTGCACCCCGGCTCCGCCCCGCGCCCCCTGCCCTGGAGCGCCCCGCGGCTCCCCCCTCCCCGCGCTCTCTCTCCCCTGCCTTGCTGCTTTCGCGCCCCCTCTGTTTTCTTTCACTTACCAGCAGCTCTGCTGACAAGCGAGAAAACTGACAACTGAGAAAAGTCGTCTGTCAGCGCGCCAGGGCTGGCGTCTGGTCTGGCACCCGCGGGCGCAGAGGGAGGGGCGCGCCGGGCACCTCCGCCCGCAGGGCACACGCTCGCCGGGCTCCAGCCTCGGAGCCGGGAGACCCGCGCGCGCAGTGCAGCCTCCCACCACGCCGGGCCCCCAGCCCGGGCGTGTCGATGGCTCCCGAAGCCCGCACAAAATAAATAACAGGCCACCACGCACGGAAATCCGAGGGAAGGGAGGTCTGTGTCCTCCCAGGGGTCTGGCGGGGCAAACAGCAGCGGCGGCAAGGTTCCAGGAGTTTGTGCTTGGAGCGTTCATTTACAGCGCTCACTTATACTCCCGCCAGAGAGCCGGTTCCATTTTGAAATATTAAAGCAATTGATAGGGATTGAAGTAACCACACATCACACTTAGAAAGTCCTGATGTATTCTTGCTAATGGGGATGGGAGTCTTCATCTCCACCCGCCCCACCCCCGACCCCCGTCTTTCTCTCCCCCTCTCCTCTCTCTTCTCTCTCCTTTTCTTTCTCTCTTTTTCAACGGTTTGTAAAAAGGCAAATATAAACCTTTGAGAAGGTGGGAATTTCCACTGATTAATGCCACATACTCCTCAAGGCGTCCCTGTACAGTCATGGCTGGGTGAATGTCAAGACTGGCAAAGAGTTTCTGCTCCACAAGGCTGCAACTCAGTCAGTGTCCCCCTAGGTCATTCACAATGTCAATAAAGTAGAATGCTCTGGAAGAGTGGGACCAGGTACGGGGGAGGGAGGTGGGATTAAGACTGGGACCAAAGACAGAAAAAGAAAAGTGCTCCTGTGGACTGCAGCGCTGATGTCACAGAACTGGTGGCCAAACTCCCTTCTAGACGAAGCCACCACCACTTCCCAGGGGCCATTGCAAACCCGGGACTCAGGGCTCCTGAGATTCAGGATGCGGCTTGCCCTATAACCATATTTTTCCTCACTGGCAGGTAATGATTCTTTCAGTCACGCTCCCATCAGATATTTACCTGCTTCTCGAAAGTAAGATAAACTCAAAGGTAAGAACTAGTTTTTCTGCATGGCTCAAATGAAGTTCCGTTCATATGACCCTGATAAAGGATTAAAATGATAGTATCTAAATTCTAAATGCTCACCATTTGGTAGCTGGCATTTACTTTCCAGAAATTAGAGGTGAGAGTGATCAGGATGGCATGGCTAGCCCCACACATTGCAGTAGAGAAGGTACCTGCCTCAAGGTGAGATGACAGACCTGTTTGATGGAAATGGACTTGTACACTCACCTGCCACCCAATCTGAAATCACCTCATTAAAGTCTGTCCTTAAGGGTTTTCTGGAAGCACATACATTTTCACTAAGGTAAGGCATTACTACCAGGCAAATGCAGCATTAAGTAGCCAACGCACTAACAGGAAATTCATTTATCTGAATAAAACAAATGACGCACCCACTGTCACTCAGCAGGGAACAGTCACCTGGGAGAATGGGAGGTTAAAAGAAGAGATTATTTTAACGATTTGTTTTGGGGGTGCAAGTCAAGATAGGAACATGGTCCTCAAATGGGGTTTCCATCCATGCATGCACCTTGGGCAGGCTGCTGTCAGTATAGGAAGGGTAGTAATGATAATAATTGCAAACCTGTACTGGAAACTTTCTATGCTCCAAGCGCGGTTCACTGTTTGAAGGGTTCTAAGCTCACATAATATTAGCAACAACTCTATGAGGCAAATACTATTATTATCATCTCCATTTTACAATGAGAAAACTGAAGCACTAGGAGGTTATCTAAACCTACTAGAAAGAGAAGTGAACTGGAAAAGACCAGTTGAGTTATGGCTCATTACCTTACCCAAGACAAATTTGTCCCCCTCACGGGGTCCCATTTTCCACATCTTTAAAGTAAAGAATTTAGGCAAAAAGATTTTTTACATCTGTTGCACCTTTATGATTCTGTGAGGTCATGTAGAGAGAACTGGGGAAAGGAACTGCTGAAAAGATGCATATTGCTGAATACAGACTTTAACTATGTCATGGTTTCTCTAGGGACTGGTCTGGGATGAAAGGGTAGAAGAGAATGATAAAGAAGATGATATTCATCTTCCTGCCCTATACCATACCTAAGACTTTTTCCTAGTGTTAGTGGGATTTTGATTAAGTCAGAGAAAAGCAGATTTTGGAAGAAAAAGGAAAGGAATAGCCTTTACCAAAATTAAGCTAATCAGAGAGGGAGGACAAAAAAAAAAAACCTTTAAAAAAGTTTCTGAAACATGATTTTGTTTCATTTTACAAAAATTTTAAAAACTAAACCTGTATTAGAAAGTTGAAAAAGATATCACTTTGCTTGATTTTCGAGCTATAATAGTTTTGGGGGCTAGAAGGACCTTAAAGATAATCTAGTTTAGAAGTCTTCAAATTTTTTAATCAACAGAATATTTTATTTCAAATAACATCCTATAAGAGACTCCACTGCACACCTCAGATTTTAAAAGTAAAGAAGGAGCTGCTCTGGTTCCAGGCGGAAGGGAGGTAGTTAGTGCTCAGGGACAAAGTCCACCTCTGCCCTCTCCATATCCCGTCTCCGAGAGACCGATGCTCCCGCTTCAGACTAGAAAACTGAGGCCACAGTACCGTACAATTCTTAGGATTCCTTGCTCTTAATCCAGGGTTCTTTCTAAACCACATTAGGAAAAATATGTCTTCTCTCTGCCAACAAAACATTACAACTTCTAGATGCACCATGTTATTATGTCACTCAGGTTATGTTCTCTCTTTATCTATCACAGACACGGTATGCTTGAGAGCTGTAGCAACATTACAAGCCACGATTTCCACTGGCCTTCCACTCAGAGGCAAAAAACAGATGCAAACTCACTCAGAAACAAAAGATCTAAGAAAATGCAAAGCCACTCACAACTTTGCTTTGGAGGTTAATTTCTGTTGTGACTTCCTAACCCAGCTTTTTGGGTAAGACATTTTAGGAAATCTTATATGGTGAAACATCACTCAATATATATAGACATGCATACATATATACATACACACACATACATACATATAACTGCCGACTTAAAATAGTCCCAGAAATAGACATACAGTATCTTAGCCTAAGTATTAGCAAACCTCTGTAGCATCAGCATTAAGTATCATTCCCTGTCCCTGGCAGAGTTCAAGGAGAAGCTGGATGACTATCTGACAAAGGAGTGAGAATCAAGCTTTGCAGGCATGAGAATGACCCCTCAGGTCCCCTTCTTCTCTAAGATTTCATGATTCAGTGATAATCGCAATAACCACAACCAGTTATTGAGAACCACCACGTGCCAAGCACCATGCTAAGCACATCACAGGTTGGTACATTTCACCCTCAACAAAACACTTCATAAGAGTTCATTATGCCCATTTACAAGTAAAGACAGAGGAGGGTCCTGAAGGTCAGATCACTTTTGCAAAGACATACAGCTAATAAGTGGCAGAGCCAGGTTTCAAAGCCAGACCAGACTGCAAAACTCATGTTCTTACCCCTTTGTTATACTACCTCCCTGCAGTCATAAAAAGACAAGTAAAAAGGTATATGACAGGAGGGGGTACTGCAGGAGCACAGATGAAGGGTCACTAATACTGTGGGGAAATCAGGAAGGCTACATAGTGGAAGTGACATTTGAACTGGATCTTGCAGCTAGATGAATAGAAGTTGCTTACATGGAAGGTGAGTGGAGGCAGGTGGTTCCAGAAAGAGGACACTGCATGAAAAGAGGCACAGAAGCATGAGAAGGGTGGAGTGTCCAGTGATGCACAAACAGAAGCGTATGACTAGGAAAAGCAGGAGAAAATGCTGGAAGGGTCTGCCAAATCCTTACAGTCATGGAAGAAGTGTGGGATCTCTCCTGCAGATGATAGGGAGCCATGGGTTGCTCTAGGCAGAGAGAGGCATGGTCACCTGTGGAGAGTACTTACTGCCCTGAATATGCAGCATACACTGAGGTCAGCTCTCTGGAAACCTGCCACACGGGAGCCTGCAACAACCATGGGGCAAACGATAACCAGGGCTCCATAAGAGGAATCCAGCTAGCAAATGCAAACAAGCTCCTCCGGTTACAAACAGGGAAGAATCAGACAAAGAAAAGAGATAAAATCAGAAAAAGCAAAGCATCGTCTCCCATGAGCACCCACCTCCCAGCCATGAGATTATGACTGCTTGCTTTGACCTCCATGAAGCAAGCCAGTGCCCTTGATACATTTTTCACCACTTGGCAGTGGCATCATCAAGAGAGTCTGTTGAAAAAGTTCTGGAGAAGCATTTAGGACACCAGAAGTAGCACGACTGGGCACGGCAGCCCCTCCTTCCCACCCACACCAGATGTGAGCCGGCCCCCATAACACACTGTCAACAGAGGCTCTTCTCTCCCACTGGCTTCCTTTTCCATAAAGGGGCCTTTTTGGTGACAGTCACACTGCTTTTCCCTTTGATGTCTCCTCTATTTGGTTTTATGATTTGGGGCAGACTCTGTCCCAGGAACCACCTGCACTAGAAAGAAGAGGTGCAGGAAGAGGCAGTGGACTGGCTGAGCCCAGAGTACCCCCATTCTCAGCTCCCTCTGAAATGGGCTCCAAGTAGCCAACATCTCAGCTATCCAGAGAGTGGCCCAGAGA